CTTACATACAAATTCAACTTAAGGACAGACCTTGGGAACAGAACTCGTTCTTAAACTGGGGGCTAACTGCTAATCAGTAGAAAGTACACGGATCATACGATGCTTGTAAAAGATCTGCACTGGTTTCCAGTTACTTAACAGGCACAATTGAAGGTATTGAGATTGTCCTGTAAAGTTTGAATGGGCTTACAGCTGGACTATCTAAAGGACTGCCTCTCCTGTTATGCCGCCAGAGGCTCATTGTCCAGCATACAGGAGAGACCCTTCTCCTGGGTTGCTCCCAAGCTATAAAATGTATTCTTTCCAGAGTTGCATTTGGCCCCTATTCTCTCAGTATTTAAGCAATATGTAAAAATGCATCTTTTTCACTTGGCTTTAAATGGTTGTATTTTAGTATTTATTGTTATTTTAAATCTGTTTTTTTTAAATATATTCTTAGTTTTTAAATTTTGCAAAAAGGTGGGATATAAAGAAATACATAAATACCCCCAAAGTCATCAGCCATCCAAGAACAGAAGGTTCTTCATTCTGACCTGAAGCTTACAAATGAGTTTTTCCAAAGCTGTTCATTTTATGCTGGTCTCAAGAAATTTCACTGCCCCAGACAGCTACGCACTACAGCTGAAGAGATGGCTCTAATGTTTAGTCGCCAAATTGCTTTATTTCAAAGGAAGCTAGGGCTCAGTTCTTACCTAGCATGCAAATACATGCAAATTGGCTGCTATTCACTCCTCCTAGGCTGTAAAAATATTGCTGTCCCAGTTGACTTGTTTGGCTGGGTTGGTCCTGATGAGGTTCCATCTTGTAACCAGGAACTTCAAGATCACATAGATGAGCTTCAGTCTCAGCTGGAAGAATACCAGCTACAAGGCAGAGTTATCCGACCTTCACTGCAAAACTCTCTCTATGAAGAACTAAATGATGGTGGAGTGCAATGTAGTCAAGGTAAAATATGTCCTGCCTACTGTATACTATTGGGGAGTTGCACTAACTATCTTTGGGCCAATCTAGCTGTCTTTCCAGGTTTATATAGGAAAGCTTGCTAGTAGAGAGAATGGTGAACAAGCCTTTTCGGTACTGATGCCAAATAAACTAGATGGATGTTGGCCTTATTATTTAAATTGGAAAGGAGCCAGTATTGCAACAGCGCACCAACATTACGGGGTAAAGTTAAAAGCAAGTTAGCAAATCTCTAAGAGTGTGAGTCTGGGAAGGTCAGGGCAGGATGTGCAAAAGAAGTTGGATATAAGGATTAAGCAGGTTAAGCTAGCAAGGCTGCCAAGTGCCTCAACAGGTGCTGCTGACAGCAGCTTTCTGATGCTCTGTAATGTTTTATTATTTCTTTGTTACCTGCTAATGTGATCCATCATTGGCTAGGTGCCCAAAAGAGCTGCACTACTTTTTGCTTCCCTGTATTTTAGAACCTGCTTCTGAGGACTGCAACCCTCTAAACATGAGCATAGAAGCTGAAATCATGATTGAACGACTGAAGGATCAGCTTCACCAGGATGTCTACAACTTGCAGCAGGAGCTTGAAAACACAGTAAGCTATCCCCACTTTAGCATGGAAGCTGAAGGGCTTGCATCAGACATTGTTATCACACTTGCTCAGAATATGTTTTTATTTAAGTGAAATCTGCTGTTGTTATAACCTTTAGTTTTCTCTTGAACAGTTAGATTTGTTGGCTTTCTGGAGCTTCTGGGTGAGAAATGACAAAGCTAAGTTATCTCCGAATGAGCGGAGACAACAAACGCAGCTAAGACTGAAGGACTGGTGAGTAGACCGGTCCCACAGAACCTCTCCAGATAAGGAGAGAACAGGAGATTGTCTGTGTTCTGGACAGCTGCTCCTCATGAGAAGACTGCAGGACAGTGGTTTCCTGCAGCTTTGAGCACTGGGAAACAAGGGGAACCATCATGCTCTCAACTGTGGCGGAGACTTTTAAAGGACACTGAGTTCACTAACTCACTTTCTAATCACTTTCGGAAATTACCTATTCAACTACCTTAAGGACATTAGAGATCTTCAAAATGACAAGTTTGAAAAGCCACCTGATGAATTTACCTTCATTCTTGAATAAAAGAAAAATTGACTATAAGCTTAAGAACTTAAAAAAATTAGAAATAAACAGCAAAAGGCTAAATAAGAATCTGATTTAAGAAAGTTATAATGAATTAAGGAACCGGACAAACTTGGAATAATGGAATATTAGGACTTTTGCTACAAAAGTTTGGAAATAATTATATAAATTAACAACACATTCATGGGAACCAACTTGTTTAGTCTATCTTAAGTCAAAACAGCAATCTGAGACATTGATTTTAGAATTGAACACTAGAGGGAACTAAAGATTCAAGGCAGAAAAGAAAAAGGGATAAAAAGTGAAAAATGTCTTTGGTCAGCATTGGAACTTGCAAAATGACAGAAAATGTTTTGATATTTGAAATACTTCCGGAAATTTTTGAAGAATGAGGTCGAAAAATAGCAGCTTTAGTCTCAGCAATGATACATGCTTCTATGAACAGATTATGTCCTAAAGATATTAAAGAAGAAATTACTGATGTGAAAGAGAACATCTTGGAAGATTTACAAGATAAAGAGCTAAAACAAACTTTGCCTGATGCAGAAATATCAGAATATAAAAAATTTGCAGAAGTACTGGAAAATAAAAAAAAATATGGACTATGAGACAGAGAAAACAACTAAAGTGGAAGTACAAATGACAAGCCAAGAAATTGACCTGGATAAGGACTTTTTACTGCATCTTTAGCCAAAGAAGTTGGCTAAAGTCCTGAAGAAATCTTTGAGATGGGAAAAAGAAAAATGGAAAAGAAATCAAATCCTATGACAGCATCTGAATGAACTAAAGATTAAGATTGTTAAAAGCAAAAGGAAAAAATATAAAGTTGGTTTGTTTGACCAAGATGCATTTGTAGAAATCTGGGATCCTTTATGGACTTTTTGCTGATGCTAGGACTGAAATGTTAATGATTTTTGCATTTGCATATGGATAAGAA